CAGTACGGTCATTCCGGTTACCTCTTTTTTACCCGAAGTAAATATATTCCTATTTGGAGAAATGCCACAAATAGTCCCTGAATTTTGACCCAATTTGCATTTTGATCCCTAAACTTTTAATTTATTCAATGTAGTCCCTAAACTTTAATCTAATGTGCAATGTGGTCCCTGAACTTTTAATTCGTTCGATATCATCTCTAAACTTTTGGTACATGTTCAATTCAGTTCATGAATTATATTATAATGTTCAATGCAGTCCTTTCCATTAATTCAAGTTCAGGGATTACATTGAACATTTTCACATAGTTCAGGGACCGAATTGAACATGTACCAAAAGTTCAGGGATGACATCGAACAAATTAAAAGTTTAGGGATCATATTGAACATTAGCTTAAAGTTCAGGAACTGAATTGAACATGTACCAAAAGTTCATGGATGAAATCGAACAAATTAAAAGTTCAGGGACCATATTGAACATTAACTTAAAGTTCAGGGACTAAATTGAACAAATTAAAAGTTCATGGATCAAATTACACATTGAGCTAAAGTTCAGGGACTGTTTGTATCATTATCCCTCCCTATTTCGTTCGTGTTTTTTTTTATGGGACATTTCCTTTATTTTCTCTTTGGCAATCCGCCATAGATAGTTCCTCCCTTTGATTTTCCTTTTTGGCCTTTGCCTCGTGCCCGGGATATTCGTTGCATCGATTGCCATCTTTCCTTCTTTTTCTTTTTTTTTTTTTTATTTCCTTTTGCTAGTAAGGACAGATGTGTATCTTTTGGAGCTCCACAGTTCGTCTCGTCCGCAAGTCAGCGCGGGGATTTGTGATGCTCGAGTTTTTTGTGGATCGTGCTGGTGAGTCGGGCTATGAAATTTGGGAGTGTGGTGACTTCATTTCGTTCCTCCGGCATATTGCTTTGTTCCTCGTTTATGGATTGGGATCTGTGTTTTCAGTTGTTCCCCTTGACCGCGAGTGAATTGTGCATCGACGATAACACGGTTGCGGGTCACCGAAATTAATCGTGAATGACGGAACGCAATCGTCTGTGCTAAAGGGTATCGTGTTCGCACCATGTAATCGCAACATTTGATAATCACCTCTGACCCAAAAGTCAAAAGGGGAGAAAAAGAAATTCCTCCGCATCGTAGCACATCCACTTTGGTATAGGGAGATTTCAAATTTCCGCACCGCAAGCCAAATGATGATAAGGACATACGGTTCCCCTCCGAGAGTCAGCTCCCCATTTTCATTACTACCGTAGCTTACAACCCAATACGGTAACGACGGAGATTTGTCAAATGCATTCATACGATGTTTTAAACCTCAGTGTTTGTGTAGGCGATGGGAAAAGAGAAAACACAAGATGACGTGTTAGGTTTCTCCCTCGAGATATCCCTCCAAAATAATTGGAGTTTTTTTTACCTCTCCTCATTAACCTATTGATTTAACGCAACGTGGACATGGAAACCCTCTAGAGAGAGAGAGAGAGAGAGAGAGAGAGAGAGAGAGAGAGATTGGGCTGGGAGCATGTTCCGCCTCTTTTGGTTAGTGGACCGCCTCCTATGCGGGCACTAAATCCCAAGCCCGTGGTGATCGAAGGAGGCCCACCGCACCGCACCGCACCGCCTCACCCCTTCCGCCTCTTTTCTCGTCCCACGCACCTAAACTTTTTATCATTTCAACATGGACTTTTCCCCCTTCACTTATTATATTCCTTCCGAATCCGGAACGAACATGTTTTTATTGCATACCCCGTCATTCGGCAAGTACAGAGAAACAACACATTTTCGGTAATTTATGAACGAGATATGGAAAATTGTCCCCGAAGGTCCTAGATCTATTGCACTTTGAGCAATTCATTTTTAAACTTTTCAATTTTACTAATCGAGTCCTAAATTTTTTTTCATGTTTTGTCAATTCAGTCCATCCGGCTAATTTTAGCCGGAAATCGCTGATGCGGACGATAGCTGTCCTACGTGGCATGGCCAACACCGGTGTCGACGTACGTATACAAATTTTATAATTTCTTTTAAAAAAACTGAATTCTTTTTTTTTTCTTTTTTTCTTCTTCTTTCTTCCTTTTCTATTTTTTCTTGCTTTCTGTTTCCTTTTTTTTCTTCCAAGCACGGCAAGGGCCACTAGCCACAGGCGAGGGCTTCGCGACCACCGCCCAGTGGCCGATGATGGCTAATGAGGGTCACCAACCCTCATATGTGACCAGCAAGGGTTGGACGGCGACCCTCATTGGACTTGGTAGAAAAAAAGAAAAAGAAAAGAAAGAAAGTAAAAGAAAAATAAAAATAAAATCAAAACTTTTAAAAAATAAGAAAAAAATTGTCCACATCAGCGCCAATCGTCCTACGTGGCACTATTACCAGCATCCACGTCTCTAATTTCCAGTTAAAATTGACCGGATGGACTCAATTGGCAAAACATGAAAAAAGTTTAAGACTCAATTGGCAAAATTGAAAGGTATGAGACTGGATAGGCCAAAGTCCAATGGGTTTCATGACATTTTCGACAACTTTCCCATTGAAGATATGTAATTTGTCCGTTCCTTTGCCAATCGCTATCCGATCATTTCTCCCTTATTTTGTTTATGCTCCGGGGATTGCTCTTGCCGGTTGATTATTAACAAAATACTAATGAATTCAGTTTCTATCCAGCATCGTCTCGCGAAGTTAGCAAAGAGTGGTCCACCACCGATAAATTAAGTGGAGACGCATGGCCGTACGTATGCATAAGCATCATTTGCCGGCTAACTCATTTGAGTTTGCGATCATGCGCCGCAGACTCCATTCGAGCTTAGGTCATCTAGGTTTTCCTTCTCCGGTGATCAAAGAATTTAAATTAATTGAGGATGTGTTGATGTTCCAAAGTAAGGGAATGAATTGAAGTCACTATCGCTATTGCCTCCGTCGCCATAAGATTCAACCGTCGCCATAAGATTCAACCATACTACGCCCGAAGGGAACGATATCGGCATTCCTTAGGTTGTGTTGATAATATCCACGTAATTAACCGTATAGATATTAAGTGTTGATTAATAGGTATCGAGTTTGAGCCCATGAAAGAAATCCGTTGATTTTCTAATTTATGTAGGTGTTCTAAACGAAGTTTCCTATTTTGGACATATAAGAGGTGGGTGTTGGTTTTTGCACCTATTAGTGAACGGAGGAGTTTTTTGTTGTCACAATCGATAGTGGAGCATGCCCGCGAATTACATCTTGAAGAAATAGCGAGTGCTTTGAAGTCAATAAATCTTGTGTTATGATTTTTGAAATCCTTTTGTGAGCTTGAAAGATTGTTTCGCGAGAAACAAAGAGTGTTGAACACTGTTTATGCCGTCAATTGCTTTTCCTGTCTCCTCCCTAGGTTTTTCTCCTCTCCCTCTCATCTTCACAAAAAAAAAATTTCTTCAACCTCCATGGAGGAGAGGGTTTGAGCTAGATCTCTCCCTTCCCTCCCTTTTTCCTTTTTCTTTGGCTAATTTGGTTTTCTAATTCTTTTTTTCTTGCTTTCCTCCTGTTTTGCGAAGCTTTTCTCTTCTAATTTAGTCAAGATTTGAAGGTTTTTGTGTGTATGATCTCATCGTTTCTCTTTGCTCGAGTTTTGATGATATACAAATCCAATTTCAAAGAAGATCAAATGAGCTTTGTGAAGGTTTCACTCTTACATGTGTCAGATTTATACTTGTTCAACATTATTACTCTGAACGACGATGGTGTTGGGAATGCTGAACCAGTCATGCACCGTGATAAGGCAAAACTGTAGCAACAGATGGAGATCTCTATATGTGTTTATTACTGAAGATAGATTCGGTGATTGACTGCCGATTTTGATTTGAAGAAATCATAAATTTACTCTTTGAGCAGGCGACACCTAACTTTATTCTGATGATTCATCTTGTTATATAAAGCTTATTTTGTTTCAATTCTTGTTTTGTAGTTGGATTGGATGTTCTTTTTCTATTGTATTTACGTGGAAATGAATGATATGTTACTTTGACAAAAAAAGAGGAAGATAATACTTATGCTATTGGGTGAGATTGAGGTATGCAAAACAACTTGAGTTATTTGTGTGTGATTATAGTCACCGTTATATTACTTAATTTATAATGGAATCCCATCCTTCTGCTCCCATTAAGAAGTTATACCAACCAAACCATGGTGTTTTTTTTTACCTTATTTTATTTGTTGTTGTGTTATATTGCTTTTCCCGCATTAATTGTACACATGAAATATTGCTAGAAATCTAGAGATTGGTTCATGAAATGACATGAAAAGCTTTGATATATCTAAATAAGTGAAACCATCAACGATTATCATTGTCAAATCAAATTTTGTGAATTAATGTGTGTTCAATATCAGGTAAAATCGTACTTGTATCGCCTTCTCCGTAAACGAGAACCCCAACATATATCGACCATTGAATAATATGGGGAAAAGAATACCACTTTCATTCGGTGCTCACTCAAGTGCCATAATTTTTTTTTCGATCACTGAATGCTATAAATTATGTGCGGCACTCACTTGGGTATAATAACTTTTTCCCAATTACTTACGTATCATTTAACTTTTCAAGTCACTTGAGCGACATAACTTTTTCAAAATGTTCACTATAAGTGCTATGCCACATCAGACTTTCGGCACTTTGGTGAACATTTTTTAAAAAAATTGACACTTAAATAATCGATTGGAAATTATGGTACTCAAGTAAACACTTAAGTGATCGAAAAAAAAGTCACGGCACTCAAGTGCCATGACACACGAAAATTATGACACTTGTAATGTTGTTGTCTCGACAACGTATCATTTAATAATCGGGGGCTATTTAGGGTTCGGATGCCCCGAGATTATGCAGCAATGACGAACGAAGCCATCCGGAGCAAGCCGGCCATCGGGAATGAGCTGGTTTTATTGTGCAGTACAAAGCCGCAAAGTCAAACCTGTACTACCACCATGAATTTTGGGAAGCTCGAGTCATACAAAACACTTCCCCAAATCAGTTCTCTTCTCGTCAATCACCTGTATACATCCACACAAGCCGCATTTTGATCAAAACCCAATAAGTTTGTGATGAAATTAACCTCTTCACCCATGGCTTCTCCCCCATCTCTAGCAACTCTCAAGTCAACCCTCTTCTTCTTCGCCGTCCACCTCTTCCTGCACTTCCCCCTCTCCACTGGCCACGGCGGCAGCGACGGGTCCCCCGGCACCGGCGCCACCCCGGACTTGCACGCGAGGGGCCTGATCCTGGTCAAAGTATGGTGCCTCGTCATCATGCTGGTCACCACCTTCGCCGGAGGCGTGTCCCCCTACTTCTTCCGGTGGAACGAGGCGTTCTTGCTGCTGGGGACGCAGTTCGCGGGCGGGGTCTTCCTCGGGACCTCGCTGATGCACTTCCTGAGCGATTCGACCTCGACGTTCGGCACTCTGACGGACAAGAGCTACCCGTTCTCGTTCATGCTGGCGTCGGCCGGGTACTTGCTGACGATGCTCGGGGATTGCGTGATCGTGTACCTCACCAGGAAAGTCGCCGCCGTAGATTCAGCTAACAAAGTCGGAGTCGCAGAAGAAGGAAGGTTGGATGAGGGTAATCAGAGAGGGAAGGAGGATGTGAATCCCATGTTCTTGCAAACGACCTCTCTCGGGGACACGATCCTGCTCATCTCGGCTCTCTGCATTCACTCCATCTTCGAGGGCATTGCAGTCGGAGTTTCGGGTAATTAAGTTCAATGAGTTCGCTGTATAATACTTTTTTGCACGGCTAATTACTAGCTAATATAATGCTTAGTATGCGTATCATAGTCTACCTTTGGTGAACATTCTGCATTAGAAAGCAGCTAAATACGAGGACGGGACTAAGCTATTCGTAGCTAAATGTATCATTTTATAAACACACATATAAGCTTCGCCAAGCCTTCGGGAGCCCAGCCCAAGGCTTGATTTTGACATCATCAAAGATGTAAATACTAGGCATCAGGTGCATCTAGTTCATTTAACCTAGTAAGATCACATCAAATTATAATTAGGTGAAATATAGGGTAGAAATTAATTAGGGTTTGCAGCATTCAGCTTTTGTTGGTTTTGATTGCTTGTGGATTGTATGTGTTCAATAGCCAAGAAAAAAAGTGCTCCCTTCTAAAGTATAAACCATAACAATTGATGCATTTCGAATTATTAATTAATATGGTATCACGGAACTTTTCTTGACACAACTTTATCATCGTAATTAATTCGCATCTTCTGTCTTTGGAACGAAAGAGACCAAGAGTGAGGCATGGAGGAACCTGTGGACGATATCGTTGCACAAGATTTTCGCGGCCATCTCGATGGGAATCGCCCTCCTCAAGATGCTACCGAAGAGGCCGTTCCTAACAACCGCAGGGTATTCCTTTGCGTTCGCCATCTCCAGCCCCATCGGGGTTGGAATCGGGATTGCCATCGACGCGTCGACGGAAGGCCAGGTCGCCGATTGGATCTACGCCATCTCCATGGGCCTCGCCTGCGGGGTGTTCGTCTACGTCGCCATCAACCATCTCATCGCCAAAGGGTTCAAGCCTGAAAACAAGTGCGTCTTCGACACTCCTTTCTACAAGTTCCTTGCAGTGCTTCTTGGGGTGGCCATTATAGCTGTTGTCATGACTTGGGATTAAAACGCCTCTGCCTTTCATTTGCGTGAGCTTTTATTTTGTTTGTTGAATATTGTCCAGAAAAAGGGCAAAAAAATCACCAAAAAGTACGTTCCTCTTTTTCTTGTGTATTTGTGTGCGATCGATATTCTTGTCATATGTACAACTTCTGGGATCACTTCCGATTTCATGTGTGATCAGACTATTTGGTTGGATTACGTGTTTGGGAATAAAACTTGAGGAGTGATCAACTGTACCTTTTGTTAGTCTTCCATTAGAAGATGAAATTCTTGTAAGAGAAGAGCTAAATTAAGTTTCGAGTTTGAGCTTATCAAGGAACTCCGATCCAAGTAGGAATTCTAAATCCCAATAGGATATGTGATTTGACGTTCGAACAAGCTAGATGGAAATAATTTCTATATTGAAATTGGATTTCTACTTAGAGTCGACATGTCATATAATAACATATAAAAACAAAACTCTACTAAGTTATTACACACTAAGGCAAACAAGAGGAGTCTTAGAGTTTTTTCTCTGTAAGTTTTTTAAGCAAGTTATCCATGAGAGAATGTGATATAACATTTGTGGGTTTGCTTTGGGTGTATTCTACGACTATGAAACACTTCAACGATTGAGCGATTATAGCTTTGTAGTTTGCCGGATTTGTAATGGATTTCTTTGCAGTTAGCTGTCCTCGTAGAATAGGTATTGATACTCGGATCAAATCAAATTTCCAGCATCCTTATCATTCATCATTGATTTTTCCAGTGATTTTTTCTTCTCGCACTAGACTGGAATTGCAAAATTCGTTAATTTCCACATTACTTCACAACAATTAGTGATAAAGCTAATGTTAGGGTTTCTAGAGTTAATTTGGAACATTTGCTTGTCTGATCACTATCTAGAAACGTTATGTTTGGAATTATCTAGAGTCATGAGAAGACAACATAGCTTACGATATAGCACAAGATTTGGTTAGTGGGGTAGTGATGAATGCAGAGGGTTTGGAGATAGCAGATGGATGAGTCGTTCCAAATCGAGATCCAACGTTCGGAACCGTTGATGTTATCATTACAATGAGGTAGAGCACTATAGAAAAGATTGTCAAAATTATAAGAGTAAAGAAGTTAAGATGAAGTCTGCAGGCAACAATGACAACAATGAGTAATATGACTAGGCTACAAACGTCGACTCAAGGTTGAAAATTGTAAATTATATCTCGAGATTGAGCTAATCAAAGAAATCCAATCAAAGTAGTAATTCCAAATATGAATAGGACTTGTGGTTTTACGTCTGAACAAGCAAAGAAATAATTGCAATACGTTCCCAGTTTGAGTCTACATATTGCTGGAAAACATATAAAAGAAAATCCTAGTCAGTTATTTCACACTAGAGCAAATAACCTATGCATGTGTTTTCTAAGTGTACACACTAGATTATGAGATAACACTTGTTGATTTCACATTGAGTGCATTTTAGGGCAAGGAACATTTGAGTGATGGAGCGATTGTAACTTTGTAATCCTTCAAATTCATAGAGAAATAACAGTGGCTTTCCCCAAGGAGTGGATACTAACATTGGGATTGAATCACATAAATCTCTAGTATTCTTGTCGTTACTCGTTGATTTCTCTTATAATTACTTCTTATCATATTAGACTTAGATTGCAAGATTCGTTGGCTTCCATGTTACTTCAAGACAACAAGAATGATTAATAATTTTATCAAATGTATGTATGTTTTTATATACATATTTATGTTGCAAAATAGATGAAGACGCATTAATGAACCTTTGGAGTGATGAACCATATTTTGTTTAAGATCACTCATACTCGCACTGGAGAAAGTTTGGACCAGTTGGGGGCTTTTCCTCATGCTGTTGACCTATAAAAACTCTCCAACTAAATAGTCCTTTGACATCAAGATCCTGATATACAAACGAACACTTCAGCTAGAAGAGGAATTACATGAAATCATCAACTACTCTAATAATGTGCACTTTTGCATATTGATATTTCATGAAACTACGTCTTACGGCTTTGTGAAATTTTAGGGTGCGAAGTCTAGAAACAAAAAACTAGGGGATGCAAAGTCTTGATTTTAAAAGTAGAGAATGCAAATTGTCACTAGCTAGCAAAAAGAATCTAATAGAGAATTCTTGTAATGTACCTAATTTATTAACCAAAAGAAGCTTAACCTATACTTTCTAGTGTAAGCTAAGGGATAGTATTGGAGTGAGCTTTCTAATGTTTCTTACTGTAGATCATGTGTGGGTATCATGTGTGGGCAAGTTGAAACTATACTTCACGTTCTTAGAAAGGCTACCGATCAAATACGACATTGGATTGTACCGGCTAACTTGTGGAGGACATTAAGGAGTTGAACTTATTTGTGCACCTAATCCGTACACTTGTTCTCGTACCTCACTTGTTTAGACAATTCCCAGAATCTTAAGTTGAGTTATTGTTACTTAGACTCGTTTTGCTAAATCAAGTTAATCACATGTCAAGAAAAAAAATGAGAACTACATTATAAAATTCTGAAAAGGTACAAATAAATTTTTATGAAGTATTCCATTCGCGATGATTGATTCTTTTCACCACGTTATTCGTAGAACTATTATAACGCATCTTTCAAACTTCTATTACAGCCCAGATCATAACCAAATTACTAGGGAAGCAAGCCTTCTTTCTAAAACATATACTTCAACATCTACACACCTATAAACTTCTGTAATCTTATCTTACAGTCGATGAAAAGATGTCAACTTTGCATGTATCTTACTTCAAGAAACTAAGGGAGCAGTGTATCAGTGTCCGTAAAAGAGCCACAAGTTGACCGGCGCAATTTGCGCAGCAAGTATCCGACGGCAAGATCAAAAACAGTACACAACAAGAACTGTAGTGGGTGCAACTACGCAATCTCTGTCGCTGTATATGACAAACTTACACTCACCTTAACCGATGAAGCAGAACCTCGAGCAAGCCCATCCTAAGGAAAATGCAAATTTTCTTCCTATCAGGTGTTCTAGCTTCCCAGTGAAGCTTGCGAGATTGATTAGTTCGGTCGTTAATTTTTTCAGTGTGAGAACGAACCGACGAGAGAGGCGCTACCTAACCGCCCACCCTATCATTGCATTCCATTCTGTTGCTTGAAAGAAAGGTGGGTCAAACGTCCTCTTCTCATGGCTAATTTTCTATCGAACGGATGCAACGACTTTGGAAGCCTCCGGTTGTAGACCAGGCCAGGTTAGGGTTTTGTGTCTGTTGTTTGCTTGGTTAAGAAAGACGCATGCACCAACCCATTGGCGTTACAATCTTCCATGTTGTCCCAAAGGGTGTTGTTAACATGGACGGAATGATGATTAACATGAACGTTAAAGTGACTTAACAAGATGGATTGACCCGACGACGATAGGAGTAGGAGATTTGGTGGAGGTAGACCCCAAAGCTTCGAGAGTTTGTCTTCTTCATCAAGGCTTAACGGTTCAACAAGGAAGTCGTTCTTGGCATATATAGCCAGCTAAAACACAGCTGATGATAGAGACTGGCGTACCTCCACGAGATTCCACATTTCTATTTACTTATGCAATATGAATTTTCGAATATTAACTTGCTTATTGGACCTACAATATCTCCGATACCATGTAAGTGATGGATCTGTTCATGAACTCTCCATTGCCTTCAATAATGGTAAGAAGAACCCCAACAATCGTAACACCGAATTATAGAAACAAGAATGGTAAAGCATGTAATAACGGTAAATTCTGTCAAAAATCTTTTTGACAAGTAATGCTTTTCTGCAGATAGGGGTTGGCGGTCGTAGGGAAGACCAAAGCTAAGATATTATCTAATATAATGAATTACTCGACTTAGTAAACACTCTATAGTGATCATGTGGACCGACAGTAGGTAATCCTTTCTTTCTCACATCCGAAACCCAAATGAGCCAAACCAAACTCTCCACTATTCTCTCTCTTTCTCCTATATATACATAAGAACACCTTGTTGCCTCTCACAATCCACTGACGAGAGCCAAGCTCAAGAGTGAATTTGAGTTTCATAAACATGAGTTCTTCATTTCTCTTAGCTCTTCTTCTTGCAGTGATGAGCTGCTTTCTTCCCGAGGTTGCCCATGCAGGCATCACGAGGCAGTACAAGTTCAATGTACGTTGCATTCATTCATACACTCACGATTTTAACGTTCTCTCTATACCTAACTGTGTTTGAAGGGCATCGTTATGTACTCTCCATCTGTGAGTTCATTAGAGCATGATGATTCTCTTAATGTGGTGCAGATAGAGATGAAGAATGTGACCCGGTTGTGCCACACAAAGAGTATGGTGACCGTCAACGGGAAATTCCCCGGGCCTCGCATCATTGCCAGAGAAGGGGACCAGGTACTGATCAAGGTGATCAACCGTGTTTCCAACAACATCAGCATCCACTGGTAATTAGGAGTTGATAATCACTACTAACATATATATGATTAAAATCTCTCATGGCAACAACATTAAATTTGATGAGCAAATTGACGAGCACAGGCATGGAATAAGACAGCTTCGAAGTGGATGGGCAGACGGGCCGTCATACATTACGCAGTGTCCGATTCAGACCAACCAAAGTTACGTTTACAACTTCACAATCACAGGCCAAAGAGGCACCCTCTTTTATCATGCTCACATCTCATGGCTCAGAGCGACCGTCTATGGACCGCTCATCATCCTCCCAAAGCTGGGCGTTCCTTATCCCTTTGCTAAACCCCACAAAGAAGTCCCGATCATCTTAGGTAAATAAATACCATCGAGTTCTTTAGCTTTTTCAATCAAGAGAACTCTGTTCAGTGAACGCATGAGATAATCTTGATAAGCACCAAATTATATCATTGAACTTTTTTCCGGGGAATACGAATTGCAGGAGAGTGGTTTAATGTCGATCCGGAGGCCATCATTAGACAGGCGCTCCAGACCGGAGGTGGCCCAAACGTCTCTGATGCTTACACTATCAATGGAAAGCCCGGGCCGCTATACAACTGTTCATCAGGCAATGGCAATTATAACAAACTTTATTAAACAAGTCCATTAACTTTTCAAGTGGAAAGAATAGAGTATCCCTATAACGTCGTTAACTAAATTTGATAAATCGACTGTTTTATTTGCTTGCACGCATGCAGATACATTCAAGCTAAAGGTGAAGCCAGGGCAGACATATCTCCTCCGTGTGATCAACGCTGCGCTCAATGACGAGCTCTTCTTCCGCATAGCCAACCATTCGTTTACCGTTGTTGAAGCCGATGCAGTCTACATCAAGCCCTTCAAGACCGACATCCTGGTCATCGGTCCGGGCCAGACCACCAATGTCCTCCTCAAGACTAAGCTGAACCCTCACAAGGGCACGTACCTAATGGCGGCCCGGCCCTACTTCACAGGTCAGGGCACTATCGACAATTCGACCACCGCTGGATTTCTCGAGTACTTCGAGTCCTCTCCAAATAATACTATTCCAAAGAACCTTACCCTATCTTTACCGACGCTACCTGCGATAAACGCGACCAACGTCGTCGCCAATTTCAGCCAAATGTTCCGCCATTTGAATAGCCGTCAATACCCCGCCCAAGTTCCCCAGACCGTCCAAAAGAGGTTTTTCTTCACAGTCGGCCTTGGAAACAGCCCCTGCCCAAAGAACCAAACTTGCCAAGGACCCAACGGGACCAAATTTGAGGCGTCGGTGAACAATGTCTCTTTCATCCTCCCTACGACCGCGATCCTACAGTCTCACTTCTTCGGAAACTCCAATGGCATCTACACCACTGACTTCCCGGTCACCCCCTTAATGCCGTTCAACTACACCGGAACGCCGCCGAACAACACATTCGTCAGCAACGGGACTAAGGCGGTGGTGCTCCCATACAACACAAGCGTCGAGCTCGTGATGCAAGGCACGAGCATTTTGGGCGCGGAGAGCCACCCTCTTCATCTGCACGGGTTCAACTTCTTCGTCGTCGGGCAGGGATTCGGGAACTTCAACCAGAGTAAGGACCCGGCCAAGTTCAATCTGGTCGACCCCGTGGAGAGGAACACCGTTGGCGTGCCGTCTGGCGGTTGGGTGGCTATCCGTTTCCTGGCCGATAACCCAGGTTTGTGTCATCAAAATTCTAATACTTTGAATATTGAATTCCTCTTACTCAAACTGATTTAAGCTGCTGCTGGTCTTGAATGAAAAAAAACAGGTGTTTGGTTCATGCACTGTCACTTCGAGGTCCATTTGAGCTGGGGCTTGAAGATGGCGTGGATCGTGCAGGATGGGAAGCTCCCCAACCAGAAGCTCCCTCCCCCACCGTCCGATCTTCCAATGTGTTGACCCTCCTTTGACCCCTTCTTCCCCCATCGGCAGTTCTCGGTTTCGTCCCCTGTTTCAATTTCAAACACTCCATCCAGCGCTTCCGCCCTAACTTATTTGTCGCTGTTCCTGCTCGGTGTCCAAGGTCGAATTCGGCATTTGAGGAATACATGTCTGTCTCTCTTTGCTTTCTTCTTCATGTCTGTTTTCCTTCGTGGGGTCCGATGAATTTTTGTTCCTTTACCACGGGATAGAGTGAAACGTAGATTTTGAGGGAATTTTGTATTTAGCCACAGGATGTGTCGATGCTTTGGTTGGAGCCTCAGCATTCAGCAATAAGCAATAATATTCCTCTTCATCTCTCTCTCTCTCTCTTGTAATATTTGTTTTGTTGGTTATTCCTAATCTCCAGCTACAAGCTATACCCACCGAAAATATTAGGTTGCAAGGTTTCCAAACTGGAATTTCAAGGACCCAGAACCGGGCCAGGCTTGGCTCAGTTCGAACGGGCTGGATCTTACTACTAAGAATGAATCTATTTTTTTCGCATGTAGTATTGGCCCAAAAAATGCATTAGACATTTCATTAGTAACTTCAAGGAAAATTATTCAAAAGTCGTAAACGTATTGCACTTTTATCAATCCAGTCATAAACCTTTTAATTGTGCTAATACAATCCTAAATATGTTTACGTTTTTTCAATTGAGTCTATTCGGCCAAATCGCTGATGTGGACGTCGGCCGTCCTATGTGGCACGGTTGACGCTGACAATTTTTAATATATTTTTTTTGGATGAGTGTACTGGAAGTTCTAAGACTTGTCGTGAAAGTGCAATTGAGTTCTAAAACTTTTAAAAAGTGCAATCAAGTCCTAAAACTTGTCAAATTGGTGTAATCAAGTCTTTCCGTTAACACCATCAATTAGTCTAACGGAAAATACTGACATGGCATTTTTAAATTAATTTATCTCCCATACGTGGCATTCATTTTTTTTCTTGAAATCATATTTAAATTAGATTAAAAATATAAAAAAGCTTAAATTTTATTATAAACAAAACTGGAAAAAAAAAAAGGAATGGCAGGGCCTACTGGTGGGCCACTGCTGCCTCGTCGGAGGGCCTGTGGAGGTCGCCTGCCTTGGGGGACAGTGGCCGCCCCTTACCAACACCAAGAGAGGCCTCGCCAGCCCAAGTAAGGGCCGATGAGGCTTGCCCAGATTTGGGTGACGTTGGTCCTCACCTGGGGCCAATGACTACCTTGGGCGACACCAGCCCTCACTTGAGGTCGACGAGGGCTGGCGAGGTCGTGGTCCCCAAGCGAGAGCCAGCGTCGCCCAGATCTGGGTGAGCCTCGCTCGGGGCAGGTGATGGTCGACCACCCTTGCCTTAGGGCTGGTGACCTTCGTCGGCCTCTTTAGTAATGGGTGGGGGCGACAGTGCCCCACCAGTGAAGCCCTCACCTAGCCCCTTGCCTGTGCCTGGTGATGGTTGGCCAGCAATCTCACTAGTTAGAGTTATAAAAAAAATAAAGAAAAGAAAAGAATATTAAAATATTATTAAAAATTATTCAAGTCAGCGTTGATCATGCCGTGTAGTATGACGGGCGTCCACATCAATGATTTTCGATCAAAATTGGTCGGATGGACTCAATTGGCAAAATATGAAAAGTTTTAGGATTGAATTAACACAATTAAAATATTCAGGACTTGATTGGAAAAAGTGAAGTATGTTTAGAACTTTTTGGACAATTTTCTCGTAACTTAATGAACTTTTGGTCGATTGGTATTTAGTAACTTCATATTTGGGCTAATTTCACTTTGGTCACACTAACATAACTTTTTACTAGCTAGTACAAAGTGATAAATAACCTAAGTACATAATGTCGAAAAGGATGAATGATGGCATGAGTCCTAAAACTTTATCTTGGTACTCTCAAGTTCTAAAGCCTACACGCTTCGTCCACTTTACGACGTCCTATGTAATTATCTTTTTCCTTTTAAATGACAAAAAAAAATGTCACGCAAATTTCCGTCCAGAAAAAAAAAAAAAACAAACGTATCAAACGGAAGGACTAAAATGTCAAATTTGAATAAGTTTTAAGACTAAATTGCAAGAAGATAAAGTTTTAAAACTAAAGCCGAGCCCCACACCGTTTTCCGAAAACGCAGCGTTGTTATCTTAAAAAGAAAAAACAAGAAGAAGAAGAGGAGGACCCGCTCGATCTGTATGGAATGTGCAAAAATATATTTACTTGAAAATCCGTTTTGTGAATTACGACTCGTCCCTGTCCAGGAACTCAAGAAGTGGACCACAACAGGAGCTCATCTTGGTGTGGGGGCCTACCTGTGTTCGCGCATGAGAACGACGCGTCGTTTACTTCGGCGATGCCACTACTCCTGTTTCCCTTTGTACTCCGCGAGAAACATCAATGCCTTAGAAACACACACAGTACACCACAGCCTCCCCCCCCTTATCTCCCCGAACAAATAATAAATACATTAATCACAGTAGATACATCGAATCATTCCATTCCAGTTGTACCAATAATGCAGCAGCAGCAGCATGTACAGCTGAGTAAATATTGCCCCTATGTTCAAACTTTGTCCACCCGTCTCGGCTCGGCTCGACTAGATCCGTCGGGCTAGTCGTAGAGGGCGTCGATTCGCGGTCGAACGCGTTCTTGATACATTGCTGCACAATCCCCACATCCTCTTCTACATCAATGTACGTAGCTTTCAGGCTCTTCCCAATGTGCATCCAAATAATCAAAATTGTCTTCTTTACTGTGGTAGTTCCAACATCTGAAAAAGGAATCTACCCTCTCTCTTTCTCTCTCTCTCTCTGATTTCCACATTATATATAAGAAAGAAAACAAAAGGGGAAAGGAAAAGGAAAAGAAAGAGCAAGAAAACACAAACAGTGGAAGAGATAACATGTAGTACGCACCGACCAGCTCCGACCATCTCTGAAACTCACAGCTCAATGATTTCACATGGGGCGAGCGAGCGCAAGAGAGAGAGAAAGAGAGAAAGAGAGAAAGAGATTGTTGATTTCGTCAATATCCTCAAAACCCTGACCCCAGATGCGTAACCCAAAAAGGACATTACATTGACGTACTTATACGTATCGTAATTCGCGTTTCTTGTCATCTCTCTACGTACCTACGTGACGGGCTCGTAGCGGACGGATCGAATTTAGCGATCTCTAGGGCCGAGTTCCTTCGCCAGATCTTTTACGAGAGCGAATGCCGGGTGTCCTTCGGATAAACTCTAAAATATGCTTCGGGAGCAATCGCGCGACCTGTCAAATCTCAAATGAAGCCGGATCAGTCGCCGTGCTTGTGCCAGCAGACGAGCATGGCGACGCACCGGCGCATGATGTAGAACCGGGCCTTCTGCTCCTTGGCGAGGTTGCTGTACTTGCGGGTCAGGTTCGACCCGCTCGCGCTCTTGGAGGACGAGCTCCTCGAGAGAGACGAGCCGTTGTTGTTACTGCTGCTGCTGCTGCCGTGGTGGTGGTTGTGGTTGGAGGAGGAGGAGGAGGAGGACGCGGTGTTCTTGAGCGAGTGGCTTCGCGGGAGCGAGGACTTGGAGGAGGAGGTGATCTTCTGAGAGAAGCTTCTGAGGAGACGAGGTTTCGAAGATGAAGACGATGAAACGCCTGTTTCTTTCTTGGAGATCTTGTTCCACCGTTCGTCCATGCTCGAGCTCGAGTGACTCTGTGAAGTGAAGAGAGAGAGAGAGAGACAGACAGACAGACAGAGAGTGTGTGTGTGTGTGTGTGAACGAGGGAGTGTGTTCTTAAGGAGCGATGCCTGTTCAAATGTCTTCCTTTGGGGCTATTTTCGCTTGGACTTTTATTAGATTCACCGGCACCGTAAAATACGGAGAGAGTATTATTGCATTTTTGTCTCTTTAATAACATGCAAACCAAAAGCTCATTTGCACTTTGAATTACATGTATTCTAGAGCATGCAATCACTTATTCTGCATTCAAAGAAAGATACGAACGGGATCATTTTACACGACAATCATTGAAGGGAAGCCGGTCGAAATCAATTTTTACCCCGACGGTACACCTTCAGTCTTCTTTATTAAGACAGGAAGTCGTCAAAGAACGGCCAAATCACAGCTCAGCACGCTAAATTTTGAGCAGTAATGAGTTTGAGTATGGTAACCCTAGCTGCATTCATTTTTTAAATGCAGCTAGATTTGGTGTTCGGATCTTAGCTATTTAAGGGTCCACATTAGAAAAAGGAGAGATTGATGAGAGATGATGGTGCTAATTTTAATTTACTAAAAAAGAGAAAAAGAAAACAGAGGGATGGGAGGGGCTTTTGGGAATAATTATTGAGTTTTTTTTGGCTAAAGGAATAATTATTGAGTTGATTCTTATCGACAATGTCCCTACTGCTTTCTTTGAGAAGTGGTGTTCAAATAGTAAGTAGAATGCTAGCAAAAAAGGGCATCTTCGTTTACAATGTTCAGTTTGAAATACATTCTTTTTGTATCTTATCACTTTCCATAGATTCAATCTCCATGTATTTTGGACTGCTTTAAGAGCACCAACTGCCATTTTTTTATTAGATTTTGGGTTTCTTTTTTCTTTATGGAGATGTTGGTACCTAAAAATGGGCAAAATAGATATTGACCATTTTGAGAAGAAAACATTGATTTTGTAAGAAATCGACCATATTAAGGAAGATATCAACATTACAATTGTAAAACGTGCAAGTCATGACAACCAAATTATGATTAGTATAGGTTTGGCCAACAGGAGGATTGATGAATGAGAACTGGCATTAGCCAATGTTGGCACCAAAATTCGACAAATTTTGGCATGAATTAATGGCGGGTATCAAAGAGGGGAATGAAGATTGGTACGTTAAGAGTTGTCGACATACACGTGGCACAAGTAGTCAGCAAACACTTCGCACAATGGGTTGGTAGACACGTGGCAAAAACAATTGGCATACACTTTGGCATAGGCGACTCACATACACGTGGAAGAAGTGGTTAGCATGATGCTAAACCGGTTAAAAGTATGAGAAAACTATGAAAATGGTTATTTTCTTGTCAAACGTTATTTCTAAAACATATGAGTGGTGGAGATCATGGTCAAACACTTGACGTGAAACGGTTGGCATGAACACCAAATTGTAACTAGATTTTGATACAAGTTGCATCCAAAACATGAGAACACTTCCAGTACGGGGGACACGTTTAGTCATGAGGACACATCCAAAACCCATACTAGCGCTTGGGGCTTCACATTCAGAATTTGGGGAACAAAGTCTTTAAACATAGAAGGGAGATCTCAAAGGCTCATGACTATAAAAAAAAAAAATAAAGTCCGCACACTCAACCAAATTGAAAGATTTTACCTATTTTATCCAAGTTTCCATTCATTTTCTTTTACTTTGTCAAACTCTTGCTTTCGTGAGTTTATTTGAGCTTTTGTTGTAGGTCTTTAGCTTTGAATCACTCATAAAGATAAACTTCGTTCAAGCTCCTTTCTAAGCTGTAAATCATTTAATCTTATCATAATACAAAAAAACTATGTATTTTCATATTTGCGGTTTAGTCTTCGTTGAGGAATCTTCCTTGAAGGGGCTAACACTTATTTGACGAATTCTGATAGAAATGGGAACACCGCAATGCAAACTTCTTTGTACATAATTATGCTTATCAAGCCACATGTTGCATGATGATTACCTATCATCAACTAAATGCATACGTGTCAATTAGATTAGCACCCTTTTTATGCTGATATTTTTCCAATCAGGATAATTTCCAAAAAAGTCATAAACCCTATTGTACTTATGTCAGTTCAGTCATAAACCTTTTAGTTGTGCCAATTGAGTCATAAACCTTTTTATATTTTGCCAATTGAATCCATCCAGCTAATTTTGATCGGAAAACACTAATGTGGCAGTCCAGTCAGTGCTATTTGTCGTATGTGATGTACCGGCGCTAACTTTAACAGCTTTTTAAAAATTTTCAAAATGTTTTTTTTCTTCTTCTTCTTCTGTTTTTTCTTTCCTTTTTGCCGATAGCCAGTCTCAGGGAATGGCCGGATGTGATCTCGTATTCGAAAAGAAACAGAAGGAAATGCAAGCAATCGAATTTTTACGGGAATATATAGTTTAATTTTTTACATCGACATTGGACCTAATAAATATGCAAATTTCAAATTTGATAAACTTTTTGCGACCTTTTTGATCTATTTAGCAGGCGAGTGGGTGGTTTAACATTTTCTTCGTCTCATGGGTCTCGATTCACGACGAACATCCTTCCTAGATCGGCCAAACCTTTTGTCAAAGGGAAAAAGCCCGATGGAGAAAAGGAAGAGAGCCAAACACAAACCTAACCCTAAAGGAAAAAACGTGACCTAACTTGAAACTTGAAAAATCAGAGAGTTCGTAAAATGTAGAGTCATATGGTTCGAGGGTTAACCGGGCTGGTAAAAGATGACGACAGACACCAAATTTTATAATGATGACGACAGACACCAAATTTTATCTTTCGTCGACGTAAATCATCTAAGTTGATGAGGACGGAAAAGAAAACACCCCTAAAATCTCCTCGAACTAAAATCGATAGACATTTTATCCGACTCGAAATTTCAATAGACATTGAGCGATCATAGGCACAGACCGATCCTGAGTTTTTCATGTTAACCTAATTAACACATTAGGTCAAGCGTGTATCTTATCTTGGATTAGTTGAGTCGTACATATATATTCGCCAGAACACACCACCACACGACAAGGAGGAAAGAAAAAATTGTACCAGTAAATAAAAACACGTACAGCTTTGGAAAGAAGGTGGCCATGGCCCCCAGGAATGCAATTTTTTTTTGGAATCTCTTGTATTAAGTTCTATGAGCATGGATTTGACCGGTCAAAAAAGCTCACATGCATTCGCACTGGTACAAACAACCTTAGCGTTCCCGATAGATACGGCTTTGCATTAGGACAAAAGCCATCTCGATTAGGATCACGCACTAGACAGTCCAGTTCATCAACCCCACGAGTTTGTTTAATAAAAGGGGTTCGCGCACGAGCGGACATGTTCGGCCGCTCGGGTACTCACTGGCTATTTAGTCAAACTTAGCTCTTTTCACTAGGAGAGGCCAATAAATATGTGTTTTTTTCTTACTTTTTTCCTACTTTCCCGCAAGGTTAAAAATTTGCATAAAGTGATCTATGTCGTAAGCACAGTCAATTTGCTAGCCCCAGAGTATCTCCTGGTAAAAACATTCTTTCGTGGGAGTTACGCCAACTGTTCTCAACTCTTTATTAAGTTGTCACATGGAAGCGTGACTAAATATTTTAAGAAAATTCTAAATAAGAATTTGGAATGGATTTTATTTCTAATATAAGCTCGAAGTGGCCATGGCAGTTTTAAATAAGGGTCTGACATTATCAGCCAACTAAATATTCCGGCCAGTCAAGGGTATTTTTATCCAAAGACAATATCAAGCTAAATTTGAATAAATTAGATTAATTATTAAGAATTCTAAAAGATTTTTAAAAAAGAAAAAAAAATACAGGCGCCCTCCCACTTGTGGCCGCCGTCCCATCGCTAGTGGGGCGCCAGCCATGGCCGGCGACCCTCGCCGACCAAAGGCGAGGGCCAGGGAGAGGGCCGCGACCCTCTCTCAAATCTTTATTTATATTATTAAAAAAGAGAGTAAATGACGAAAATGCCATTGACTAGCCGATTGAGATCGATCCCTTCTTTGAGATTGACATGGCAATTTCAGTCCCTTATTCAAAACAAAATCCATTTCATGCCATTATTTGATATTTTCTCAAATATCTAAGTATTGCGGATGTTCTCAAGCCGCGTGAGATAAACGGTAAATTACATTGAAACGATTTACCATAGTTCTTGTCAATACCCGTGTCGCGTCTCGTCGCGTCGCGTCGCGTCATGTCACTAGTCCAATGCCATGCTTTCCTCGGGCCGACGGTACTTTAATAAGATTCCCACATCAAAACCCGCATCGTCATCGATGAGGCATATACTATGGTCTTTAGGAACCATTTACCTCGGCGAAGGTGGATCATTCAGCGTACTGCTTTTTAACCGGTCTGTGTTCGAGGAAGTACTGCATGCCCACGTGGGTTAAAAGAACACCAGCAATCCCCCTAAAGGTCCACATGCGAACATGTGATCGAAACAAATGGGGGCATCCATCCCTCGTCAAGCCCTCGGTCCCCATGTAGTAAGACCTCTGCATCTCCAGATTCGTTCATATCTAATCGAAGATCGCCCGTGGGAGCGAAACAGTAGCTTCTGCATCTTCCTCTAGAAGAAACAGGGCGTTTAACAAGATTATATAATGTTGACCCTGGGATCACCTCGTTGGCCCCTTGAAGCGGAAGAAGCTTTGCATTTCGATATATGCTCGTGAACATCATCAGCGTGACTTGGTGACGAAGCATTAGGAGTGGAGGATGGTCGCTGTTGTCGACTGTTGGCTAGTCCTGGTGGTTGTACCAAGATTGGAATTGAACGTGCGCATACGTGAATGAAGGCCTGCACGTTTCCCATCTTCTTGTCTTCATGTGTTGGGCTCGATTTCGGTAAAAAATTGATTGCAGATTCGGATCTAGATATTGGACTTTCGTGTTATGGGAAACGGGTTTTTGGAATACAAAAAACTCGTGATTCTGAAATTGTAAATGAACAAGGATGATAGATTTATAATCATTCTCCGACAAAAAAACAGTAGGTTAAAAAGCAAGCTAGTGATTCACGAATTTTTATTCA